CTGCATATTTTATATAAATATTATTGTGAAGCTAGACATTTGAGATGCAATGAGGGAAAAAGATATTCACTATTTTCTTGAAACAGAATGTGAAGTAAAAAAAAAAAAGTCAATGCTGTCCTAAAATTAAAAACCTCAAATAATATATTTTTTAAGTAACAAGGACCAATCAGAGGTAACTATGCAACATAAGCAGTTGTAATGACTAAGTTCTTCAAATCTTTTATTTCATACCAAATGTAAAACCAATTTCCTGATTAGGATAACTGACTTTAAAAGACAGCATTTTTCAATTATGTGTCATTAATGGTACTTCGTGTTCCAAGTCTGATAATGGGCAGGGACATTTCAAAATTCTTCCTAATTGAGTTGTCAGCGATAATACCAAAGCCTGTTGGACAAAGTTTATTATGTGAATCAGTGACTACACTGAAAAATGCTACTGGTTAGGGGAAAATAAAATACACTACATGTAGAAGGATCAGAAACGACCGTAAAAAATAAAGCTTCAAAGGAGGATAAAATTTTTTCAAGGATCCGAGCAGCAAAGAGGACATTATTTATCTACAGACTAGGGGAAGAAAAATCCCGTGGTAGTTCTTAGAGCAAGGTAACTGTTAAAGACAGAAAAATCTTGTTGCTGAGAAGTAAATGTCAGGGCTCAAAACACACATAATTTTCAAGTAAATTATTCTAGGAAAGAACAATGAAAGTAGAAGAACTTAAACTCCCTGGATTATCCACTAATTTGCTGGGCCAGTGCTAAACACACAGTAGGCATTCAATAAATACTTGATGAGTCCAGTTGCCCTGTTAAACCAGAAGTTGATGAAATAGTATGCAAAATAAACATTAAAACATTCTTGCACTTGAATACAACAGCCCTGCTGATTTTCAACTTTGTCCTTAGCAAGGCAGCAACTTGTGAAGTCATCCCTAAATATTATTTCCCAAGAAAGGTACACATAACAAACAGCAAACTCAAGCAACAAAACTGTAGAAAAACATGAATGAAAGTTTTCTTTAGCCCCACAATAAAATATGATCCAACAGATATCCAGATATCTGAATTTAAAGTCATGAGACTTGGTTTTCTATTGTCTAATTTCACAGGCTAGAAATAAAAAAAAAAAATGACCTGCTGCATGCACATTAATCTAAACTTTTGTCTAAAGGTAAAATAGCTATTTTTATTTGGTTATCATTCAAATGCAAAACAAAAACAAAACAAAAATAAAAACAACAACAACAAAAAACCAAACCCACCCTAAAATACAGGCTACTAAAGGCATAAAATACCACCACGTTTGCTGTATGTTTCAGAATATAGATCTGGTTTTTGTGAATACACACCTCTGTTAAGTCCAAACTGGCGGTACTTGCAACACCTGGGGTCAGGAACAAAAAGCAGAATCCACCAACCAGTTAGATACAATCTATGAGGTTTCATTGACTGCTCATTCTGCCCTAAGTTGAATTGAAGGATGTGGCTAATCCTTTATGGCCCTGAATGGACAACCCAATGGCTATTATCTTCTACCTAACTATCCACATCATATTCTCCACTCAACTGTCTCTACCCGGGCTTGGACTTTGTAGAAGGGGTGAACTTGGGTTTAAAGAACTCCAACTCCTGTCTGAGGCACATAACAGAAGGTATTAGTCGTAAAATATCATGATACTTGGTTTATATGGCTTAAAAAAATGTTCATAGATTTCTCTTAAGGTCAAAAATAAAATTCAAGGGAAAATATCAATTTTTGGTGTTCAGTGTACAATAGCATAGCACAGCTGTTCATGTATCCTTTATAGCCTCCTATAAAGCGATGAATATTTTGAAATGCCTTCACCAATGTGAATTTAAAATGTATAGTGGACAGTAAATAAAATAATTGTGAATCCCATCAAAACTGCAGAGGAGTCAGAGGAGATTTCTCTCTAAACGCCAGGCCTCACTTAAGCTTGTCAATGGATGTTGAAATCAAATCAAGTAATTATTGAAAAAAGTGAAGTACTCTATTGTACAAACTACTTTTACAACCTAGTTTTTTTTTTTTTAAATCAGTGCAGATTTATGCAGATGTTATTCAGGACAAAAGAGGACAAGAATAGCACAAATAAATAAGAGAAATGGCCAAAGAGACCCCATATATCATGTAAAGCAAGTTATAACCTCTGCATGACAGAACTTTCATCAGACCTGTCACTGAGTGGGTAACTTGACTAGCACAGGGCCTGGCACATAGTATGCAAGCACTTAATAAAAACTTGTTGACTAGACTTCACTAATCATTGTCACTTCCTGTTCTTTCTCCTGGCCATCCTTTGGTAGAGATGCAAAAAGACCATAGGATGAATTAGGGCACACACAAAGAAAAGCAAGAAGCAAAGCATTTGGATTATTCCCCAAACTTTCTGAACACGTAATGAATGTAACTGTAATTCGTGTTAAATCACTTTCTTTCCCCTCATAATAACACACTAGAATTGAACATGGCTATTAACCTAAGTAGATTGGGTAGGCCAAAGCAGAAAGTATTTTATTTTATTCCAGTTGCAAATTCCACAAAGAAATGTAGAAAGAATTAACAGTCATTTGGAATAAAGTAGCCTTTGATAACATTTATTATCACTGCATTTGTTTTCTTAGCCAAAAGAAAACAATATTGATTTGCACTAGAGACATGGTCTAGAAGGGACCAGAAAAGGAAGTGGGCTAGTAAGAACACAGAATAACACACAGCCTGAGCATTGCACTGGGATTCATAAAAACATTAAGAAAGCAAGAGGAAAGTTTCTATTATATTGGATTGATCCTTTATGGCAGATTTGTAGAAATGCATTGATAATAACTGTTCAAGATAAGGCACGAATGGGGAGGGATCTGCACCAAAGCAGGAAGCAGTCACATTGATGAAATCATGGATCCATTTGACCACTTCTTGCATTAGGTCAAATACTATGACCAAGAGTTGATAAAAAAGCACCCAGATACAAACTGGAAAATAGAGTAAAACAGCCATTCTGAGAAACAAATCAAACCATTGTTTATTCTCCTTACTTTTTTTTGTGTGTGTGAGGCAATTGGGGTTAAGTGATGTCACGAGTCACACAGTTAGTAAATGTTATGTGTCTGAGGCCGCATTTGAACTCAGGTCATCCTGACTCCAGGGGCGGTGTTCTATTCACTGTACCACCTAGCTGCCCCTATTCTCCTTACTTGCTGAACCTAAGGAACCAATTCTAGTTAATCAAAATTGAAGTATATAGTTAACTTGGTATACACCTCTGTGTAATGTTTAATGAAATTAGTAAGTTTCAGGTATATTAATTTTTAAAAATGAAATGTCCACCTTGAATTGTAAACTCCTAGCTTAGAATATAAACTTCTAGATGATAATGCTTCATAGCTTTAGAATTACAAGGAACTTTGGATCTCCTGAAATCCAACATCCTCATTTTCACAGGGAGGAAAACTAAGGCTTAGAAAGGTCTGAAGGTCACAGAAGTAGAAAATATCTGAGCTAGGATTCAGACTTAGGTTCTTGAATTCTAAATCTAATATTCTTTCCACTACAATATGCTGGTTATATCTATACAATTCTTTATCTAATAAATGCTTCTGTATAATGATGGACAAATTTCCAAGAATGTCAAAACATTACCACAAACTTTTATGAATTTGTATTTTGTTCAGTCGTTTTCAGTTGTGTCTGACTCCTTATGATCCCATTTGGGGTTTTCTTGGTAAAGATACTGGAATGGTTTGCCATTTCCTTCTCCAGCTCATTTTACAGATGAGGAAACTGAGACAAATAAAGTTAAGTGACATGCCCAGGGTCACAAAGCTATAAGTATCTGAGGCTGGATTTGAACTTAGGAAGAGAATTTTCCTGACTTCAGGCCCAGTACTCTATCCACTGCCCCACCGACCTGCCCTACAAAATTGGTAAATGTTATTAATGTAAAATCTAATAATTTAATAATATTTAATAATATTAAATAGTAAAATAGTAAAATTTAATAATATTTAAAGTTTTGGGCTATTGCTTCTTCAATACCATTTTCCTGGACTTCCACAAGAAAAACTGAACTCCCTCTAGGACTTCACTCCTTCTAGGGGCCCATAAGTGAGTTTCTACTATACTAGTTCTCACAAAGGACATGTCAAACAAAATAAACACAAGGAAGAATAAAAAGCAGAGTTGAAACAGAGAGATATAATACTCTAGAATTGTGAATTGCTCTAAAATGGAGAGCAGTGTAAATAGTGAAGATATGAATTGGATTATGAACTACTCTAAATACACCAAGGGATATTGTCTTTTTAGTGCTGACTACCTATATATATATATATATACAGGTTCATAAGAGACTGAGAGTTGCAAGACAGCTTTGAGACCATCTAATCTAAACCGTTCATTTTACAGATGAGGAAACGGAGGCCCTTAGAGGGATACGACTTGCCCCAAATCCAGAGCTTTAACTACAAATGCAATGCTTTTCCCACTACATTATGGAAGTATTATAAAAATTTTCCTTCAACAGATCCAACTCTAGCTGCTTGATCAACTAAATCTAATATAACATGTAACCTGAGATCCAAATATATTTTGCAAACATTGAATCAAGAGGAGAAAAACAAACCAAGCTGGAAAGCAAGGATACTTCAGGGAATAAACTTAGCTTTGGATAATGCCCCAAAATGTATGGTCTTGGCACCAGAACAGATGTAATGTAAAAATGCATATGAAATGCCTCCTGGCTACCTCCTTTTGACTAAAAAGTTTAAAGAAAACAATACTGAATTAGGACACAGGCACAAGTTAAAAAATACTTATTTAATAAGTAGCTGTATCACCTACAATCTATATTAAGTACTTCCAACAATTTCAACCAAAACATTTTAGTATGTTTATCTATACTATCTATATTTCTTGGAAAATTTCAAATATTTGCAATGTAAATCGAAAGTCAACAAAATACAGACAAGCTAAAAGTTGAATGGAATGTTGGAACTTTAATAAAGCTAGCACTCTGAAGAGCATTCTAAACTCTGAACATAGTTTCTATTAAAACAATGTGCTTTTAAAAGCCAAAGGTGTTCCCCCCCAACAATCACATTAAGAATTTAAAGAGACACGGTCAGGCTGCAAAATTAATCTTTTCACCAAATATTTTAGAGAACTTTAAGATTCAATTGGGAACATAAAAGATTAAGTCTAATGTTCACATTTCATTCAGTTTAGGAAAATGAGACTATGAACTGGGATTAAGTTGTGGCTAATATTTTACTTCTTTAATCTCATGCATTACCCTCAATTATAGTTTTAGTGTATTATCAGTGAAAATCTTATGAAAAATTTTTATAATGAATTATAGAAAAATAAGTTTTATAAAGCCTTATATTTTGGATTAAGAGTTACCTGACAGTGTCCCTGTAAGTGGCATTTTTCTTTAAATATTCTCCGGGGGAATTGCTTTTGGTTTATTCTTCAGTGTGGGAAATAGCAAAACACAATGGAATGCAAAATATACAGTAAAAATTGCTTTGTCAGATTTTTAGTCACTAATACCAAATCTCTAGTAATAATGAAAATTTATATGGTACATCTAATTCAATGCACAAATCAGAACATTCAGTTCCAAAATAAAATTTTTTTTGGGTAACAGATCTTTTTAAACTGGGCTTTTTTCAAAAGTACAGTTAACTACAAAAAGGATTAAATAGGCAGTTATAAAATATATTTATCCTAAGAATATAAAATGTTGATGCCCATGTTGAGAATACATTACACATTATGCACATCTTTAAGGATAATTTGTTTTAATGTAGATAAAACCACAATGTTTATTGCTTGTATCAGGCATGTGAATTAAAACCTAGACAACCTACATAGATGTATCCCTCTGGCCAAGGGTTTTTTCAGCTTAATTTAGTGAAATGTAACTTTTTAACTGTATCAACACATTTGCAAAAAGAAAAAAATTATAAACTTTTCTTGAAAACAAACATTAACATCTTTATTTTATATAGCAGTTTACAGTTTGGTTTTCAGAAGTACCTGCAGGTCAAAGTCCTGAGATGTTGACTTGTGACTGATTTCCATCACTTATCTGGTTGGTGACTATTCTACTACACCATTTTCAGGTACGAGTAGGGAGCTTGCTGCTAAGAAACAAAGCCCTAGCGATTAACTGCAACAGCAACTCCATCAACTACTAGTGCAGAAGCTTGCTGTGCAAATTAAGGCTTTACTTATAAGGAATGCTTCTGACAATACAATGTCCAGTAAGCAAAAGCGCCAATCAAAACGAATGCACCAAACCCCATCACAGTGAGAATAGGTTTCCAATATAACCACCTTTTTCTTTTTCGTTCAGTCTCACTTAGCCTCTGTTTCATCTGCTGCACCTTTTGAGCTGTATTAGCTTTTCTGTCCTCTCGGTATCGTTTCCGAACAGCACTACAAACAAACAAATATATAAGCAAACAAATTAGTTGAATTTTACTGCCTACTCAAGATGAAAGAAACAGAGCAAAGAAAAATACCTCCCCCAATACACTAATTCCATAAGAGATATAAAGCACTTCAACAAAACAAAAACATGAAAAAAGCAATCGATTTCTAAAATGGTTTTATACCGCACTGTGATCTCAAAGCTGAAGGCAAAGCTTTCATTTGCTAAGAAAGAGACTTGTAGAGTGGGTACTTTTTTTTTAATTGTTGTTTTTTAAATCTAGCCAGAGGAACAGGAGTTTAAGTACAAAGAAAGAACCTAAAGCACTCTTTTACCACCAGGTTTATCTTTTTAGGATTTTCATCATCTTCTAGAAGTTTTGGCTTTCTGAAGTTTACATCTAGTTGACATTTCCCTACTCTGTCCTAACTTTGCTTTAATGAAAACTCTTCAATTCTAAGACATTCCATGAAAGAAGCTGCAAGAAAAGTTTTTTCTTTCCTCAAAATCATTACAAATCCGAGTAACACAGCTTAAGGATTCTGGGTAGATAAGGCCTATTCCCGGTCTGAGATACCAATCACAGGTAAGTGTTGGCCTAATAGAACCATTTAATTTACAAAGGAAGAAGGGTTAATGAAAAGACCACTGAACATGGTAGTTAAGAAGCCTGGATTCAATCGCTGGCTCTGATACATACAAATTCAATGAATTTTAAATAAACTTAATTTCTCTAAGCCTGTTTTCTCATAGAGATAATAATACTTAATTTACACCAAAGAATTGTTGTAAGGCAAATAGTTTATAAATCTTAAAATGGAAGAATAATCTGATTGCATAACCTAATTTGTAAACTAGAACTATCTCAGCTTCTCTCTAAAGAGAAACACAAAGTATAATATGCATATAATGAACATAACATCTCAGCATGAAGGTGACATGGCAGAATTTCTCTAGACCTTCCATAAAAGACCTTGTAAAGAAGCATGCAGATGTCTAACTCATATGACAAGATACTGTATATAAACTTATGAAGACATGATGTAACTCTCTGGAGAGATTGAAAAGAATGCTGAGTTTTGGGGAGTTAGGAGATGTGGCTTTGAATCCTACGTTTTATGCATACTTGCTGAATAGCCATGAAAAAGTCACTTGCCTCTCTGAAACTGTTTCCTCAACTGTAAAATGGTAATAATACTGTCTGCATCACAGGGGTGTTGTGAGGCAGGCATTTTGTAAACTCATGTCTATACATGGGAAGTTATTACTTTTATTATTATTAAATACATGGAGAAATCTCACTGGATTATAGGGATTTTTGTACATTCAAATTGTGCTCAGTTCTGAATGATTTAGCTATAAAGCTGCTCGTGCTTATTTTCTCCCTGGTATTTCTCATCCTTCCTATTAATACCCCACTCACTCCCGTCTGATTTCTTGTTGAGTGTGATGTATTTCCACACCAAGGTGGGAGTGTCCAACCTTCTTTTTCTGTTTCAGATAAAAAGGGCTTCTCCCCTCACTCCTTCCTCCACGTCTGTATACTCTCCTCAAACTCTCAAATTATGATACGTAGCAAGTTTTATTCACCCCCCTTTTCCTTATTTCTAAATTAGTGTATTCCCCCCATTTACTCTCCTCTCTCTTTCGCCTTTTAAATACCATAGCACACAACCAATCTGCTCCCAAGACCTGTTTTTCTTATTTAACTCCCTCAAAACCCTTCGAAGACATTACAGTTCCGAAAGGAATGTTTCTTCCCCATTCAAATGGTTACCTTGCCTCCTTCAAGCAGCTAGGGAGGTTCCAAAGCGATACTTAATAAGCATCTAATATACGAAAAGCACTTGGGTATAATGGGGTGGGAGTAGGGGCATAATTCACATTTATATAGCATCTTAAGATTTATAAAGCACTTTCCTTGAAATGATCTTGTGAGATAGGTAATATAAATATTAATACTCTACTTTACAAATGAGAAAACAAGCTCAGAAGTGAAGTGACTTGTCCATGGTTACATATTTAATAAATACCAGACCTGACATTTGAACCTAAGTCTTCTGCTCCTAAATTCAGTCCCCATTTCACTATACCATGCTGCCTCTTCTCATTAACTGCTCTTTACCCTGCAGGTAATGGGTAATTAATCAAGATATTTTGACATAATCATAATAATAGCTAACACTTATATTCCTTTAATATAAATTATTGCGTCTTTCAAACCTTATCTCATTCCATCCAGAAAGGTTACTATTATAGGAAGAAGAAATTAGCTTCTAAATAGGATGTATTTGAGAAGAATGGGTACATAAGACAAGCTGAGAGAGTACTGATTCAGGAATTAGGTGGCAAGGTCTAGGATGGCAGCAGTGCACATGAAAAGGACAGGACACAGGCAAGAAACACTGTAGAGAAATAACAGGACTTATGCTTAACTGGATATGATACAGGAGGAAGAAAAACAGAGTCATGGATGTTGGTTTTAAGGCTGGGTGAATCTAAGAATGGCAGGAAAAAACAGAGAAATAGTTAAGTTTACAGGGGGAAGAAGGACAAAGATTAGTACAGTATAGCTATGGCAAACTTAAGATGCTAAAGGGACATTCAAACGGAGATGTTTAGTAGGCAGCTGGAAATCTGGGATGGAAGAAAAAGCCCAAGAAGTAGGAGAAAAACCATAATACTGCAGTTCCACTGAACTCAATTCACTTCAAAAGTAAAGGCCTACTTAGGAAAAAGCACTGTGCATTAAAAAAAAAAAAAACAACAAAACAACACAACATGACATTCATGGCTCTCAAGGAGATTAAGGATGGTAACAAATAGATTGAACAGTTAAAAAAAAAATCCACAAAAAAGCAGGATGACAAACACTAGCCAGAACAGAAAAAGAAACAAAGCAGAGCACCAACACAACCAGGATGACCTGGACCAGGACTATTTCTAGCTGAACCCTACTGAAAAAGTTGAGAACATGATAACAACAATAATAAAAATGAAATAGAATCAGCTAGGTGGTGCAGTGGATAGAGCACCAACCCTGGAGTCAGGAGGACTGGGCTCAAATCTGGCCTCAGACACTTGACACTTACTAGCTGTGTGACCTTGGGCAAGTCACTTAACCCTGACTGCCTCTCCAAAAAGAAAAAAAAAAGAAAAAAAAAAAGAAAACAGCATATATACCAGAAACAATGTAGATGGAACAAAAAAAAAGACAAGTAATGCAAGATATTTTCAAATGGACAAATGATATATTTGAATAACTGAAGCAAGAATTAACACTGGTAAGGAAAATTACAAGCACAAATAAAAGCCTGTGGAAATGAACAAGTTACAGAAGGAACTGAAGAATTAAGATGCTAAAAAGGACTACAAGTAAATAACATTTCCTCATATTTGTATTTACGTATGTATAGAACTTTAAATTTTACAAAGGATTTTGGTCACAAAAACCCACTAAAGTCAGTAGTGCAAATAAAATTATCCACATGGTACAGATGAAAAAACTATCTTATACTTCTTTTACATCCTCTAATAATACTAGGCATACAGGAGATGCTCAATAAGTTGATTTGGAAGTGAGCAGAATAATTTGGAGATAACCTTTAAGCTTTGACTCCTATGATCCTACAAAGCAAGATCATTTAAAAGAAGTCACTGTTTCAATAAATCTGTCTAAACATGCAAAACAAAACTTGCTTTTTTCTAGCATATTAATTCCATGAAACTTACCTTTCAGTGTTCTCTTCTACTGTGTCCTGCATCTTGGTGGAGAGTTCTGTAAGGTTTATTTTGTCATTTTTTTCATCTTCTTCTAACCCTACCCTATTCCCATTGTACTTTCCAGTAATGACTGTAGTTGAATGAGGTGGCGAATGCTCATAGGTAGGTGCCTCGTCTTCATTGGAAAGTTCTTTCCACCGCTTCTAAATTAGGAGAAAAGTACAACATGGTGGTTAATAAAATACTTTATCTCCATTATAAAGTTCTTTCTACCCTTTCTAAAAGAGAAGAAAAGTACGACATGGAACCTAAAAAAAAATCTCTCAGTTCAACGTTTCATACGGTATAATATTAGTCATTTTATTAATTTAAAATACCTCACCAATGATAATAATCAAGGGTCAGCAACACTTTCTTTTTTAAAGCCATTTGTCTAAAAAAAATTATACTAGAACCTCATGATAGCACCTAGAGAAGTATTTAGAATAAGTAAATATATATATATATATATATATATATATAAAAATATATATAAAGAGCTCATGTCCTTGTCCAAGAGAATTTTGTTAATGAAGTACTAAAGCAATCTCCCACTTTATAGTGGTAACGAAAATGAAGTATTTGGCATGATCGAATTCCTGATCACACTATAGAGAACAGCCTGTTGACAGGTCATCTGCCCGCTTTTTAACCTAGGTGTGCTTCTGCCTGGTCTGCCTTACAGCGCACTAAAACTCAAAGATCTGAGAACTGGCCTATCATTGGATTGGGAAAAACTCCACTAATATTCCTGGACCCCAATGACAGACAACAGGGAGCAGCATCCATCACTGTAACTTCATTATCACCACTACCATGGTGATGAGCAAGAGGAAAAGAATATGAGAGAAATAGAAAACCAGTGTTTCTAGAATGGCTTAAAGACACAAGTATGCAGATATATCCTGTAGCCAGAAGACCACTGTAATTCGGGACCTAGACAGCTGGTAACTTGTGAACTGGCCAACTAATCTGGAAAACAAGTGGGAAATAGGATCCCAAAGTCACTAAAGGGTATCTACTTTTTGACCCTGCAATATCCCTGAGAGTTCAAAGAAAGAAAAGGTCCCATATGTATAAACATGTTCAAAGCAATTCTTTTTGTGGTGACAAAGAACGGGAAACTAAGGGCTGGCTCACTAAATGGGAAATGGCTGAAAAAACTATAGTATATGGCCTCTGAATCAAGAACACCTGAAAAAGAGTCCTACCTCTGACAGAAATTAGCTTTACAATTCAGAGCAAGTAACCACATATCTCGGTGGCCCAAGAAACTCCGAGATTATACAATCCGTAGACATCCATCAGGTTTCCATGCCAAATGTTTCCCATAACCACAAAATTACAGATCTAGATTTAAAAAGAAGTTTTTGTAGTTTGAAATTGTTCTCTTGAAATTTCATTTATTTGCTTAACAATCCATTTTTCCCTTATCGAAATTTCAGCTTGGTATATGTCTAAAATACCACAAATCATTCACTAAAAATGAAGTTTTTTGGGGCAGCTAGATGGCGGAGTGGATAGAGCACCGGCCCTGGATTCAGGAAGACCTGAGTTCAAATCTGTTCTGACACTTGACACTTACTTATCTGTGTGACCTTACTTAGCAAGTCACTTTATCTCATCACCTCAAAAAAAAAAAAAAAAAAAAGTTTTTTTATCTTATCTTATGGTGTGGAACTGGAAAATTCTTGAAGGCCAGGATATAAGAATGCAAGTTCTGACAAGTTCTACTATACTGGAAAGGCTTTGAATATAGCCTTAGCAACAGATTTAAGTTTGCTTTCCAAGGAGGCTAGCCATCAGTCAGAAGGCTGGCTATTTATTAATAAATTTTTTGGCCATGGCCATTCATGAAACAAAGAAAAGTACAAAATACCCTTCAGCCCTGTGTAATCTTCTTTTGCTTCTACAGATAGCCTCTAATAATCACACAAGTTTTAGACTACTTAAACATCAACTAATCAGTTAAGGCTGTTATGGTGGACTTATTCAGTGACCAATAAATAGACATACTACTGGAGGATCTAAAGTGTATCAATCTCAACAGTTTCTTTATAAAATGAAACCAGAAGAAGGAAGTTGCAGCTACCTCAAAGACAGGCAATTAAAGGAACTGGTGGAGTTGGTTTTATTGTGCATCCAAAGGCAAAAAGAAAAAGTATTTCATGGAATATTCGGTCATCTAGTATTGCAAATGTTAACTATCTCCAGATACTACTATGAAAATTACTTTTAACTATATGTTAACATCTGTAATACATAGATGAAAAGAAAGAGAAATTCTACAGGGGCAGCTAGGTGGGGCAGTGGATAGAGCACCAGCCCTAAAGTCAGGAGGACCTGAGTTCAAATCCAGCCTCAGACCAAACACTTGATACTCACTAGCTGTGTGACCCTGGGCAAGTCACTTAATCCCAATTGCCTAACCAAAAAAAAAAAACAAAACAAAAAAAAAACATGTTGGCAATTGGGTTTTGGAGTAAGATAAGAGAAAGACCAAAGACCTGTAGGCTACATGGCTTCTGCTTATATATATCATGAATACCTTCTTTAAAACTCATATTTTAATAGAGAGGAAATGACATATTACTGATGTTGGACCCATTACCTAATCAGCTGCCTGTGTACAGTCAAGACTGACAACTTAAACAAAGAGCAAAATTAATATAAAGCTGAAGGAAAAATGTGAAAAAAAGTTGTGTACAATGACAAAATCATACTTGACCTCCTTAAACAAGTGATTAATCTTAAGAAAAGGAAAAGGGATGGAGAAAAGGATAATGACGTCGATTACAATAATTTTATATATAAGTTTAATGTAGTCCATAATAAATAAATTAAAAGAGCTATCAAACTAGTTTAGTCAACAAGCAGACTTATTTGTTAAGTGGGACAATATGGCAGTCAAAGGCAACACTTCTGTTTAGATTATGGACTCATTCATAAAATCTTTTAAGATGAATCATGAATTAAATGTGTGATTATTAGAAGAAGTGGTGTACTAAATCAGGTGCTAAGAATGAGGAATGACATATTGAAGGTCCAAGTGTTCCACTGATAAACCACCAAAATTCAAAAAGATCTAGAAGGTCTCTAGCATGGTGGATCCTTTGTGATGGATCTATGGAAGCAAATGAATCACGTAGGAGGAGAAGGCCTAGATAGGTTGTGAGCTCTACCACAAATCCACTGAAGTAACTTTTTTGTTAGTATAAAAAGCATATGACTTGGAAGCCAGAGTCTCTCACTAACAAAGTTCATATAAGATTCCTATATAGCCATGACAAGAAAGATAACTTTGTTCAACAATCCTATGATTATCAAAACAAAGGAGTAAAAACAGAATAATGTGTACCAGCCAAAGATATGTGTCACCAAACAAACTTGAGAAACAGAGAACGAGACCTGGGTAAGATTCTGAGGTGCACAAGTCCTTTTGGCAGATAGTCAGAAGTCCTGCTAGCTGCAAAAAAGAGGATGGTTACCTATTATTCTATAGTTTGTTAGTTCAGCTGATAAGCCTCTGTTTCGTCATCTGTAAAATGGGGTTCACAATATCTGGACAATATGCTCCACAGAGTTGCTGTGAAACTTAAATGGAATAACATATGTAAAGTGCTTGCTTGTGACAAGCAGTCTGGCACAGTGGACAGACAACCGAACTTGGGCCAGGAAATTAAAGGCTCAAATTCTCTCTCAGAAACTAGTGCAAGTCATTTAACTACTCTGAATCTCAATTTCCCAAGCCTGTACCTAAAGCTCTCTGTAAACCTTAAAACAGTACATAAAAATGAAATATAATTATAAGATTGAAGCCTGGGGTTTTTGTGGTTGTTCAGTTTGTTTTGGACTCTTTGTGACCCCATTTGGAGTTTTCTTGGCAAAGACACTAGAGTGATTTGCTATTTCCTTCTCTAGCTCATTTAACAAATGAGGAAACTAAGTTAAGTGACTTGCCCAGGGTCACACAGATTAAGTATCTGAGGGTAGATTTGAACTCAGGAAGGTGAGTCTTTCTGACTCCAGGCCTGGTATTCTATCCATTGTGCCACGTAGCTACCCTAATATAATTATTGCAGAATAAAAAGGGTAACATTCCAAGGTTTTCTGATATAAACCAAGTCTGTCACGTACTACACTGCCAAAAACAATATGGATAAATCGCGATGTGATCAATTTGCAAAATATAAGTTAAAGATCTGGGCCAAAATTGGACACCCCTAACATCAAATAGGATTCGCATACTCTGATTTAACAACTAAAAAGAATATCTGAACCATCTGCACTTCTCCAGAAGTCTATATGTAATACAACAATTAATAATGTCCAGTTGTAGACTATCAAAATTAAAAACATAGTACACTAAGGCAGTTGTTACAATCTTCACAACCTCTCTCTCTACTCTACACAACAATCCACATTCAGGCTTTCATTGCCTCTCACCTAAAATAACTTCAACAGCCTCCGTCAGCCTCTCCCATCTCCAAGTGCATTTCTAACCATATCACTCCCTCTACTCAGTATTATGTCAAGATCAAATAAGCTCTTCACAACCTAATTCCAACCCAACCTGCCAACTTCAGTATACATTACTTCCCTTAGCACACCTACATCCCAGTTCAAACTGGCATTCTTGTTGCTCCTCACACACGACATTCCAGTCTCTGTGCCTTTGCAATGGGAATCCCTCAATGTCTAGAATGCATTCTCACTTCACTCCCATATCCCATATCTTAGAATTCCACTTCAATCAAAACTCTCCTTAAGTAGTCCTTTCTGCAGAAGCCTTTCCTCATCTCTCTAGCTGCTAATCCCCTCCCCCTATTTAACATGTTTATTTTGTACATATTCTATATATACTTATTTACGCCATGTTTTCTCCCCCAATACAATATAAGTTCCCTGTAGGAAGGGACTATTTCTTTTTTTAATTTGTATCTCAAAGGCTAAAATAGTGCAGGACACATGGCAGGTGTTTAACAAATGCTCATAGGTTGATTATTAACAGAATTATGTTTTAGTTTAAACCAATGAAGTTATTAGTTACTCTTACAACTTATGGTTTTTCAGATTTGGTTACAAAGGAAAATAATTCTGTAAGTCAAAAGAGTTTGTCTTTTTTTTTTGCTTTTTGGTTAGGCAATCGGATTAAGTGTCTTGCCCAGGGTCACACAGCTAGTAAGTGTTACATGTCTGAGGCCGCATTTGAACCCAGGTCCTCCTGAATCCAGGGCCGGTGTTCTATCCACTGCGCCATCTAGCAGCCCCAGAGTTTGTCTTTTTTGACAGTATAAGAATAAGAGTCATATTTTAAAATTTTAAACTGGATCACAGTCCATTAACATACAATGATATCTAAGTAATATAAACAACAATGTGATTTTTTTTTACAGGAATATAGTCTGTTTCCTTTGCATCAATTTTTTTACTAACATGTGAATATTGCACAGCCAAGATTTATGACACTAGATGAAAAAATTGCTATGTATTTCATTGAGTCCCACTTATGGGAAATTCTAACACTATAATATCTGCTATTTAAGTCACTATACAATTAACTATTCATAAGCATATCTCATAAAACTGAAATTTATTAAAAACTGGTTTTGCCTTTGTGTTATTGGTGCTTTGCAGTATCTGACATGTAGTAAGAGCTTAATAAATGCTCACTGACTGACTACTACAAATGTTTTCCCATCACTCAGCCACACTGGTGAGAAGGCAGTGAAAACAGGGTCATAAGAACAAGAAAACAAATGAGTATTTACATTTGGCTAAGGTATCAAATAAGAATGCTAAATAGTTCCCGGAATTTACATGGGTAAATCTGAGGTATTTATTTTACCCTTCACTGAAGCTTTGCTTTCTACTTGGACAAAAGTAAAAAATGCCAGTAAGAGACAATTTATGCCAGAAATAAAATCTTATTGGACCAATTCCCAGAATATAGAACAAATTCAAAATCTGTCATCAAGAAAAGGAGTACTGAGTAAGAAAACGATTGAACTAGAACATTTAACTGTAGTAAAGAATTTGTAAAAATCTGGAATTCAAGACCTGCTATTTATTTGAAGGAAAAGCAGCTGTAGAATACAACCAGGCCAAAAAGAAACTTGCTTGATTTTGACGCTGCTTGTTTATAAAGCTAAGATACTAAAGCACTTCTTGAAGTCTGGTCTGGGGACTCTGTCATTGGGGCCCCTCCCTCCCTCTGACTGCAGAGGGTGGACATCAGAGAACTCCTCCCACATCTTCCATTTAAGGAAGGTGCTCAGGGTATTTATCTCAGTAGTTCCCACCTAGCTGTGAAACTATCTAGTTCTCACACCAAGTACCTTCCTCCTAACCTTCAAGTTTCTTTTTACGTGTTGTCTTCCCCAGCAGACAGTGAGTTCCTTGACGGCAGGGACTTATCTTTTGCCTTTCTTAAGTTATCCCTAGTGCTAAGCACAGTACCTGGCACAAAACAGAGGCTTAATAAATGTTTATTGACTGACCTGACTGATGCAGTCTGACATCTAATATGTCCAAGATCAGAATTCAAGGCAAAAAATATAAGGATTCATTGAGTGATTCTGTTTGCTTATTATTTTGCATTAGTATATTATGTATCTTAATACACAGCACAAAAACATCTTTCAACAATCAGTTATCCAACTGAGTTGCAAAAATGTTATGCAGATGAAACCACTGTTATTACCAACATGACTAATGATCAAATGAAATACTGCCCTCCCTTAAAAAAAAAAAGAAATGCCGAATCTAAACCAGCGTTCAATTAGTTTTATTAAGTATCTGTGACTAGTAGTATTAAAATCATTTTACAACAAAATAATGAAAAGCACATTCTGAACAATTATTTCGTAAAGTTTGCTTTAAAAAGTGGCACACAACTAATAACTCTTTTACACATTCATTGCAATAGTTTCCTTAAAAAACAAAAACAAGGAGCAACTAGGTGGCACAGTGGATAGGGCACCGGCCCTGGAGTCAGGAGGACCTCAGTTTAAATTTGGCCTCAGACACATAACACTTACTCGCTGCGTGACTTGTGGCAAGTCACTTAACCCCAACTGCCTCACCAAAAAAAACAAAAACAAAAACAAAAATAGAAAAAGAACAAAAAGAAAACAAAAACAAAAACAAGAGAAGTCAAGGATACCAATACTACAAAGGAAGGCTGAGCTCCCCATTAGGATATGATGGCATCATTCATAAGACTTGAAGTTTTTGGTTTTAATAAATAAGCTTGTCACATCAAACGCAGATATACAGATCTGGGGGTAGGGGGAAGAACTGCAATTATACTTCTTGCATTACTATATCATATTAATGCTATAAGGCATAACTTTATAGCACATGTTTCTATTTACACAAATGTATATATTACTTTTGCCTATAAAGTTTACCTGTATATTTGAATCTCCCATTATAAATTTTGCTCCTTCTATTACAGCCATATATGAAAATCTTAGTTGATCTGGAGTCTGAATAAGTCCCATTCGATATTTTCTCATATTCAGTAATACTTGTTTAATATCAACAGAAAAAGGGTCATCTCTTTTTTCCATCTGCAAAGAAAGTTAAAAATATTGTTGAGGTTGTTACTACTGATACGAGATCAGGAGTTTAGTAATATGAACAGGGTCACATAATTCAGATGATCTCTTATTGAATTTTTTTAGATTTCAAGCTCCCCTGGGTAGTTGGAAAGGATTTCTCAAGATGAAGAATAAATTAAAGCAGGTTTTCTTTTACAACAGCCACTGATGGTTATTAGTGTTTAAGTAAATTTTCATGCTGTTGTTGATAGTTCTACTAATTCTATGCAAGGTATGCTGCACACACACATGTGTACAAGCGAAAAGAAATTAGCAGGTTGACTAAAATAGCTTCAGTCAGGGAGAAGACAAAATAAATCCACATAAATGATCAGCATTTTTATACAGTGCTAAGAAATAATGAGGAAAAATGATCAAAAGGGAGATTCTACTGAAAATAACTATAAAATGTATGCAACATGTGAGAATTACCACCGAGATACAAAAGTACTTACATGACAGGGATTGATTTATAGATTTAGGGCTATAAATGAAACTGCTACTTTATAGAACAAGATAAAATAATAATGAAATATATTTTAAGGAAGAAAATGTTAAGAAATCTCAAGGGAAATAATGAAAAGAACTGTGAACAAAGGGGGCTTAGCAGTGCCAGATCTTAAACTATTTCACAAAGCAGTAATTTCCAAAATAACTTGGTACTGGTTAAAAAATAGATCGATTATTGGAACAGATGAGATACACAAAATACAGAAGCAAATATACCTAGTACACTTGTACTCGCTTAACACAAAAGACCCCAGCTACTGGACTCATTGCTACTGGACTCATTACTACTGGACAAAAACTACTACAAAAACTGAGATATGGAAGAAATAGAGGAAATCATATTTATACCAACAGCTGATACTTTACACAAAAAAAGTTCCAAATGGGTATGTAACCTGGATATAAAAGGTTACAAAACCTTTTGCCATGAACAGATTAATAATGGGAAAAATTACCTATCAGATCCATGTTTAAGATAAAAGATGGGGCCAAACAAGGGAGAGGATCACGAAGATAAAATAGATAATTTTGATTACATAAAATTCAAAAGGTTTTATACAAACAACTCTAATAAAACTAAGATTAAAAGATGTACAATTAACTGGGGAAAATATATGTAACAATCTTCTCTGGAAAAGATCTAATTTCCAAGAGAAGGTGATTCAAATTTATAAAAATAAGAGATATTCATCAATTGGTCTAAGACTCTAAGGATATGAACTGGTACCTCTTAAGGAAAAGAAACCCAGGATTATCTATAGACATATGAAAAAATGCTACAAGTCACTACTAGAGAAATGCAAATTAAAACATTTTTTTGACATGCCACCCATTAGAGTGGTGAAGATGACAAAAAAGGACAATGATAAGATGCTGAAGCTAATGAAAATAGGCATATAAATGCACTGCTGGTGGGCCTGTGAATGAGTATAATCATTCTGGAAAGCAATTTGGAATTATACACAAAAAGTTACTAAACAGCGCTTGCCCTTTGACCCAGTTACACTACTGCTAGGAGTACATAAAAAATGAGATCAAAGAGAGAAAAAGGTCCTATGTGTACAAAAATATTTATAGCAGTTCTTTTTTTATAGTGTCAAAAAAATAAAAAACCCTAGAAACTGGATACCCATCAATTGAGAAATGGCTGAATAAACCACAGTGTATGAGTGGGTTGGAATACTACTGTGCTGTTATGAGAAAACAGGATTTTTTTTTTTTTTAAGGCAATTGGGGTTAAGTGACTTGCCCAGGGTCACACAGCTAGTGAGTGTCAAGTGATTGGTCTGAGGCCGCATTTGAACTCAGGTTCTCCTGACTTCAGGGTCGGTGCTCTATCCACTATGCCACCTAGCTGCCCCCGAGAAAACAGGGTCTTCAAAGAGAAATAGAAAGACTCATGAACTGATACATAGTGAAGTTAGTAAAACCAGAATAATTTATACTGTAACATCTATATTATAAAAGTGAATAACTTTTTATTTTTCTGACATTTGTTTTAAAATTTTAGAATTTCAAATTCTCTCCCTCCCTTCTGCCTTTCTTTCTTTCATTGAGAAGGCAAGCAGTATTATACCCATTATATACGTGAAGTCATGAAAAACATAAAAATGAACAATTCTGAGGCCTTTTGTGCACTAATGAAGAGTGAATTGAGCAGAGCCTGGAGGGCAATTTATAGACTAACAATGATACTGTAAAGACAAACAACTTTGAAAGTTGTAAGAACTATAATCAATACATTCATTACTACAGAGGGCCACTGAAGAAATCTGCTATTCACAACAGGGGGCAAATTTAGTGTGGAATGAGACATATTATTCTGTACTGACAGAATTTGTCTTGCTTGACTATGCTTATTTATTACAAGAACTAGTTTTTCTTTTCTTTTTTTTCCTTCAATGGAGTGAAGGCTGGTGTGGGGGAGGGGAAGATTTCTGTCAATTAAAACATTTTAAAATAGAAGTAGGAGGTGCTACAGATATGTAATGTTACATGCATTTTCTGATGAGGTCCTTACAGTAGTAGTTTTACTTAACGGTTACTTTTCTTACAAAGAGAGCTCTCAGGGAACTGAGGTAATCTGTAAATGTTTGTAATATAAAAACAAAACATAAATAAAACTTAATAAAGGGAGGGTTCAGTCAGTGGGGGCAGAGTTTAAAAGGAAATTAATAGTGTAGAAAAAATAGATTATCAGTATCAAACTAATAGAATCAATGGAATTACTCAATCAAAGCAAGTTACTTAAGATGGTAATAACATCCTAAAATAATGTGGGAAGCAATAGTTATGACGAAAAGAGGAAGAGGATCTTTAGTGAATGGGATATGGTAAATTTTGATTGGGAAGGTAAAGAAGCTATGGCTATGGTGTAAGATTCTGCTTAGTCATGGCAAGGATGGGGACAGGGGACTGGACAAGTTAGGAAGGTCAACAAAAGAATGAAATTTATCCAATTGACATCTTTTTTTTTTTTGCTTCTCAACTCTTTTTTATTTAGTATTTTGTTTTTCCCAGTTATATGTAAAAATAATTTTTAATATTCATTTTGAAAACCCTGAGTTCCAAATTCTCCCCCCCCAACAATGATAAGGAAAACAGTTCTACATAGGTTATACATGTGCAGTCAGGCAAAACATTTACATAATAGTCATACTGTGAAAGAAAACAGACAAAAAACTCCCAAAAACTCAAGAAAAAAAAAAAAAGGAAGTAAAAACGTATGCTTCAATCTGTATTCACACACCATCAGTCGTTTCTCTGGGGATGGATAGCATCTTTCAGCCCAAGTCCTTCAGAGTTGTCTTGGATTGTTGTATTGCTGAGAATAGCTAAGTCATTCACAGCTGATCATTTTACCAAATTTCTGCTATTTTGTACACAGTACATTTTAGTTCAAATCAGCCCATGCAAGTCTTTACAGGTTTTTCTGCTCATAATTTCCTACAGTACAATAGTATTCCATCATAATCACATAACCATAACTTGTTCAGCCATTCCCCAATTGATAGGCATCCCTTCAATTTCTAATTCTTTGCTCCTAGAAAAGAGTTGCTAAATTTTTGTATACACAGATCCTTTTCCTTTTTGTTTTTTATCTCTTTTGGGACAGAGATGTAGTAGTGTTATTGCTAGATCAAAGAGAATGCATGGTTTTATAGCCCTTCGGGCATAGTTATTAATTGCTCTACAGAATGGTTGAATCAGTTCACAACGCCACCAACAGTGCGTTATTAATGTCTCATTTTCCTCACATCCCCTCCAACATTTGTCATTTGCCTTTTCCATTCTATTAGCCAATCTAATAAGTATGAAGTAGCACCTCAGAATTGTTTTAATTTGCATTTCTCCAATCAATAGTGAGTTAGAGTATATTTCATATGGCTATAGATAGCTTTGATTACTTTATCTGAAAACTGACCATATCCTTTGATCATTTATCAATTGGGGAATGGCTCTTATTTTTACAAATTTGACTCAATTCCCTATGTTTGATAAACGAGGCCTTTATCAGAGAAACTTCCTTCAAAATTTTTTTCAGTTACTATTGCTAACTGTATTTCCTTCCATCCTATTCCCCGCCCCCCTTTATTCTATTGTCTCTACTCCAAAGTGTTTTGCTTCTGACTACCCCCTCCCCCAATCTGCCCTCCCTTCTTTCACTCTCTACCCCCACCCCCTTCTCTTATCTCCATCCTCTCCTATTTTCCTGTAGGGAAAGACAGATTTCTATACCAATACAGTGTGTATATTATTCCCTCTTTGATCCAATTCTGATGAGAGTAAGGTTCACTCACCTCTCTACTGTAAAAGCTTTTTCTTACCTCTTTTATGTGAAATAATTTACCCCACTCTACCTCTCCCTTTGTCTTTCTCCCAGTACATTCTTCTCTCACTTTAATTTTGTTTTTTAGATATCATCCCTTCCTATTCAACTTACCCCAGTACTCTGTCTATATATGCTCCTTCTAATTACACTAATAATAAGAAAGGTCTTATGAGTTACAAATATCATCTTCCCACATAGGAATATAAACAGCTTAACCTTATTAAGTCCCTTATGATTTCCTTTTCCTGTTTACCTTTCTATTCTTTTCTCTTTCTCTCTTTTTTAGGTAATTGGAGTTAAGTGACTTGCGCAGGGTCACACAGCTAGTAAGTGTCAAGTGTTTGGTCTGAGGCTAGATTTGAACTCAGGTCCTCCTGACTTCAGGGCCAATGCTCTATCTACTGTGCCACCCCGCTGCCTCCTCCATTTTAATTTTTAAAAAATTATTTTCTTCAGTGAGCTTTTGGACCTCCGTTTCCATTTGGCCAATTCTGCTTTTTAAGGCATTCTTCTCCTCGCTGGCTTTTTGGACCTCTTTTATCATTTGGCCTAAACTGTTTTTTAAGATGTTCTTTTCTTCAGTATTTTTTTGTGTCTCCTTTATCAAGCTCTTGCCTTGTTTTTTATGATTTTCTTGCATTACTCTCATTTCACTTCCCAATTTTTTTCTTTACCTCTCTTGGTTTTAAAAATCCTTTTAGAGCTCTTCCATGGCCTGAGACCAATTCATATTTTTCTTAGAGGCTTCGGAGGTAGGAGCTTTGACTTTGTTGTTTTCCGAGTGTGTGTTTTGATCTTCCTTGTCACATACTAACTTTCTACAGTCAGTTTTTTTTCTGTTGTTTGCTCATATTGCCAGCCTGTTACTTGACCTTTAACACTTTGTTAAAGTAGGGCTCTGCTTCCAGGGTGGAGAGTGCACTGTCCCAAGCTTGAGGGGTTTTGTGCAGCTGTTTTCACAGATACTTCCAGGGATCTGTAAATTTTCAGTTCTTCTAAGGTGGTATGATCTAAAAGAGGTGTTTAATACGGTCCTGGCCTGTGAATGACCACAAGCACTCTTTTCTGTCCTGGAACTGTGAGGAAGATCTCCCCTCCACTGTGGCTGCAAGCTCTGCTATGCTAGTGTTGCTCCTCACCCTGGGACTGCCACCTAGGACTGTGACCTGGATCTGAATATGGGCAAAGCGACAGAGCCCTGCCTCAGTGCTAACAAAAAGACCCCTGCAATCTCCTTCTGACCAGTTGTTCAACCCCTTACTGTCTGTGGGCTGAGAGCTCTGGAAGCTCCCACAGTTAAATTCAGTTACTCCCAGGGCCCGCTCCTGGTTTGCTGTGGCTGTGGCTGTGCTGGTGTGGCCTGTAATGCAGGCCCTATCCCCCCAGGTGTGACAGAACTTTCTTGCCAAACTTCCAAGTTGTCTTGGGCTAGAAATTTGTTTCACTCTGTCTTTTTGTGGATTCTGCTGCTCTAGAATTTGTTTAGAGACATTTTTTAAAGGTATTTGGAGGGATCTGGGGGAGAACGCAGATGAGTCACTGCCTTTTCTCTGCCATCTTGGCTCTGCCATCCCCAGTCAATGTTTACTGGTGAACTTAAAGTTGTTTGTAGAAGGCAGAAACTTGTCCTATAGCAGTTAAGAATGAAGTGAGAAAAAAGAAATATTGCCTACACTTTACAAAAATGGTGAATTTACTGTTGAAAGGAAGAAAAGAGCAGAAGAACATTATCTGAAGGAACATAAGGATCAAGGGATGCATTCTTCCAAGGACAGAATATTGCAGTACGCTTAAAACAGAAGGGGAAATGAAAATGAGGTAGAAATAAAAATCAATAAAATTGTTCTTTAAAATAGAGAAGGGAAGGAATGAATGGAGAGGGACAGAATGAAAAATTATTACAACAGATCTTTTCTCCCCTGTATTCAACAGCTATGAATACTTTGTTCTTCAGAAATAAAATCTAAACTTGGACCTAAACATAGAAATAGAACCCAAATCAAATGAAACAAAACAGTATATTAAAAAAGCACTTACCAGGAGAAGACAGGTATCAACTAATGAAAATGTGCCAGACCGGCCAATGCCTGCACTACAGTGAATTATTGCAGGTCCATGTTCAGCATTCAGGGAACCAGATTCTCGAACTTTAAATAAGAAGTTGAGGAATGAAGCTGGTGATTCAGGGACTCCAAAATCTGGCCACGTAGTATAATGAAAGTGAGATATTATCCTGGTCTCACCACTCTACAACATAAAAATTAAAGGGGGGAAAAGTTAGTTTTGTCTAATTTGTCCATTAAAACACTTTGCTATTTAACAACGATCAAGTATGTCATAGATGCTGTGACCTAGGACAAATCAATTAATCTCTGGGTCTGGTCCTCATATGTAAAGGGAGGCTAAAATAGATAAATCAAGATCCCTACAGCTCTAAAATCCTGATTTCCACACTTAACACACTGGTTCTAATTTTTATAACTAAATTCTTTGATCTCTAATTTTCCCATTCAGGATGTAATCAACTAATTGTTTTTCTAAATTGTGGGTGGGAAAAACCTTTTGAGAAATATCCTTGGAAATAGCTATCACTATTTAAAAAATAACAGATAAGGTTCTCCTTAACAAGTGATAAGATGGTATCAGGATAACTAGCTCTCTTTGTCAAAATAATTAAAAAACAATTCCTTGAAACTTTCAACCTGCTTCTCTGACCAGTGTAAAGACCTACAACTGTAGGAAACTTGAAAGAAGTCAGTCACAAGATTACAAATCCAGAAATAAACTAAGGAGTGCAGAACTGTCTTGTAAATGATTCACTGAAAACTAACTTTTATCCTACTCATAAACACACTAAGCTTTAAACCTTTTAGAGAAGGTAACTTTCAGGGTTTTAAAGAAACAGTAATTGAATGGCCTGAATTATTTCTGTTTTCGAAAAGATCTCCTAATTTACCCTCACTGACTTAAAAAAATTTTTTTTGAATTCCTTCATGCTAAGTTAAACCCAATAAAGATAGCTGTTAACTAGATATTTACATTTTTCCACTCCCTCTCCTGAACCTTCTTTTACATATGCAGGAAAACTCCAAAGGAAAATAATTCTAAAATAAAGTCACTTTAGCTAAAGGTTTCAAATTCCTGCAATTTTTACTTCAACTTCAATTATATAGCAAAACTGATATATCTGAATTTATCTTTCTGTTCAAAGGCCCATGAGCCTCAGAGTTACTTGACTTTTCCCTTTCCTTCAATACTGCCAGCCAAGCCAATCATCACTTGTGATGACTTGGCCTCAAAGTCCATCGGAAGTGTCAAGCACTATAGACTGTTCAGCTGTTTTTCAGTATGGTTTTTAGTAAGGTTCAGTACTAGGTTTTTAGTATGTAGACAGGTAAATCTAAACTCTTGAGTGCTATGAATATCACTTAGGAGACTCTGCAAAGTCAACTGCAAATACATGGAGGACTTCACCAACTATAGAGGATCCCTCTCTGAATTTTGTGCTTGATTTCCAACACAATAGTCAGGAACTTTTTTGAACCTAGCTTTCTCTGTTTTAGGACTTCCTTGGTCAGAAGGTCTCAATTTATAAATAAGCATTTATTTAAGCACCTACTATGTGACAGCACTGTAGCTGTAAGGACAAAAATGAAGCTGTCATTGCCTTTATAAGGAGCTTGCACTCCATCATGAGACAACATGTATACAAGTAAGTACATAAAAAGTGTATATATACAAGTAAGTACATCACACACACACACACACACACACACACACACACGCAATAGATACAAACTAAATTTGGGGGAAAGGGTGCTAGCACCTGGAAGACATCAAAAAGGGTTTTTGTAGAAGGTGTAGCTCAAACAGAATTTTGAAGGTAACAAAGAATTCTAGGAGGTGGAGGCGAGGTCAAAGTGCATTCCAGGAATGCAGGACATTCAATGCAAAGGCATGAAGGCCGGAGATGGTCTATCATGTATAAGGAACAGCAAGAAGACCATAGAGTGCAGGAAGAAGAGTAATTTGTTATTACTGGAAAGGCAGATGAGTCACTTTGTAAATGACTTTAAATGCTAGAGGAGTTTATATTTGATCCTAAAGACAGTGAATGCTGAGCCTCAGAGTTTAAGGGGAAGGTAGAAACATGGCTACACCTGAACTTCAAGAAAATTGCTCTGACTTATATGAACTGATGCTGAGTGAAATGAGCAGAACCAGGAGAACATTATACATAGTAACACCCACATTATGTGACGACTGACTTTGATAGACTTAGTTCTTCTCAACAATGCAAGGATCTAAGACAAATCCAAAAACACTCAAGATGGAAAATGCTATCCACATCCAGAGAAAGAACTATGGAGTCTGAACGCAGATGGAAGCATACTATTTGCTCTCCTCTTCTTTTGTTGTTTTGTTTCTTCTTCCTTGTGGTTCCTCCCATTGATTCTAATTCTTCTTTTCATCATGACTAGTGTGAAAACATGCTTAATATGAATGTATAAGTAGAGTCTCTATCAGATTGCACGCCCTCTTGGGGAGGCAGGAGTAAAAGAAGGGGGAGCAAATTTAAAACTCAAAATCTTATGGAAGTGAATGTTGAAAACTAAAAATCAATCAATTATTTAAAAAAAAAAAAAAAGAAAGAAAAAGAAAATTGCTTTGGCTACTGTGTGCTGTGATGGGTTGGAGTGAGGAGAGACTTGAGACAGAGAAACCAATCAGAAAACTATCACAATTATACAGGCAACAGGCAGAGAGCCTAAACTTTAAGTGGTGTCCATAAGTAGAGAAGGAAATCGATGTGAGATGTCTTAGAGGTAGAAATAACAAGATTTGGCAACTGAAAAGTAGAGCAGGTCAGAATGAGGGGTCAAAGACCCTGAGCATGAGAACCTAGGTGAATGAAGAATGATGTTACCTTTGACAGATATAGGGAAGTTAGGAAGAAGGTTGAGCTTGGGGAGAGAAGGATAATGAGTTGTTTTAGAAATGTTGAGTTTGAGAAGTTTAAGGCATATAGAGGAAGTTGGTAATGTATAAATGTAGCTCAGGAGAAAGACAAAGGATAAATATATACATCAAGGAGTCATCTGCATAGAGATGAAAACCCAAGGGAGCTAATGAGGTTATCAAGAGACAGAAGAAAATCTGGCCTTCTACAGAACCATGGTAATGTGGATGATGATGAATCAAAGACTGAATAGTGACCAAACAAGTCCAAAAAGTAAGAGACAGCAGTGTCACAAAAACTCAGAGAGGAGGAAGTATCTAGGAGGAGATAGTTATCGACAGTGTTAAATGCTGTAGAGAGGTCAAGAATGGGAATATTAAATGCATGTGGAAACCATTCTAATAAAAATTAATTTTAGTCTGAACCTCTCTCTTGTGTAGAACCTCCCAGTGAGGAAACCTGCTTCACAAATTTCTCTGCAACTTCCTCAGACACCGAGAGGTTAAATGGTCAAAGAGGTAACATGCCTCCTTGTGACTGTGAAGTCAACTTTCAGTCCACTCTCCACAATGCCTCTGACATTTTACAGGGTGAGGAAAATACACAAATAGGTCAGTAGTTATTAATGTGCTTAGTTGCCTTTTTGAGGAGTTTTCCCCACCTTATTTTCTCCTGATATGTTTGAATGGAAATTAATTCTGCATACATAGTCTAAGAGTTATCTGCTTTTCTCATCTTTAGTTTCCTTATTGCCATTTCAACTTCCTCTATTAGTACATCCAGGATGTGACGTTAGCATCCCAATGTCACTCCACTGCCCCTTAATGAAGATCTTGGCAGATCTTTTCCTACTTCCCTTGATTTGTTGCCTACCATTCAATTTCATCATTAATTGCCCTCAGGTTGGCTTTGCAAGTTGGATCTGTTAACTGAGGTGTTTTGTAAAGCAGTATTTCTCATAACCTTCCACCACACTTCTGCCTGACATTATATGAAGAATAGGTGTTTCCAGTGTCTGCCTTCTTTCTCCACCCTAGCAAAGTAAGTGTTGACTGATAAACGGAGTGTGGGAACTCTTCATTTCCTCATTATGGCAATTAATTTATATCAGTTAAATTTTTATGCAAAATTATTATAATCACCATTACTACTCTTGCTTCATGAATTTCCCATTTTCCAGGATCAATAATTCATTTAAATAGGTCAGGTGGGTTGTTTTACAGGCACAAGGCATCCTTTCTCATTTTTATTCTTTCTTCTACCTGAGTATTCATTTTGTTGTTGTTATTTTGACAAGTTGATAGTTTGAAAGTACACAGACAACTGATTCAGAAATGAAAACTATATCAATAAAAACAATTTCCTATCTGATAATCAATTCTATGTTTTGTGATGTTATTCAATGCTTCACTTTCTAATTTTTTTTTTGAAGCAAGCATTAATAATGCATTAGGGGGAAACTTCTGTATAGTTTACAAATCTTTGGTTTCTTTCATTCTTTATTCTTGAACCATATTTTGTAGGAAATTTGTTGTGGTCCTCACCTCTTTCTACCTCTTGGTTGAAGTCACTGACAATATCTGTTGATTTAATATGGAGGATATTAAATTCTTTTTGTGTGTGTGGCAACTGGGGTTAAGTGACTTGCCCAGGGTCACACAGATAGTGAGTATCATGTGTCTGAGGCTGGATTTGAATGCAGGTCCTCCTGACTCCAGGGTTGGTGCTCTATCCACTGCGCCACCTAGCTGCCCCAAGGATATTAAATTCTTAAAAAATGGTTATGAGTTTAAAGATCAACACAAGCATTTCAATAGACAAAGAATGGGATATAATATTGTATATGAAACCATGACTAACTGATGTAGCTTATTTTTTAAGCGTAATTAAATTTAATAAGGTAGTAACAAAATTGCATTGTTTGTATCTTCTAAAATTTTCTTCCATTCATTTAAAAATATTTACTTATGCTCCATTCTTTTTCTTTTTCTTTTATGGACTCTCTCATTTTCTCTGTGTGTCTTTCTCTCGCACTCTCTCATCACTATCGCTAGCCATTAACTCATCCTTTCCCCAAAGGAAGCTCTTTCTGTAATCAATAAACACAGTTAAGTAAAACACATCAAGAGATTGGCTGTATCTGAAAATGTGTCTAAATTTGCCCCTCTAGTCTATCTCCTCTTAGTCAAGAGGCAGGAGGTGTGCTTTATTAGTTTTTTGAAGGTATGATGAGTTACTGCACTAAACTCTTTTCTATTACTCATTTCCTAAAGTACAATAAAATTCC